TTAGCTAATTAATTAATTATATAACATATGTGCGTATATCTTATTTACATATTGAAATTCAGGTGAAGAAGGTACCGAATTCAATATAGCAGATAGAATATATTATAGTGTGTGCAGCTTTTCTTATTTATTTTAGTGTAGCAACAATAATTTTAAAATTAATTAGACTTGAAACTTGATTAATTGGCGTTTTCTCAATTTAAATAAATGTAATATAGAATACAATTATAAATGTAAAAATCAAAGGTAAAAGACAGCTGTACATTATTTAAAATGTAAAATGATCGTAATAATTTAAAATAATGTTTAGAAATTTTCATCAATTCATAATGGCATTATGCAATATTTCCACAATATTCCTATCGGGGATTGATGTAAAATATTAATCAAATACTGAAATAAATATAAACACAATATGTTTTATTAAAACTTTTATTTTTTCATATAATAGAGACTTATTCCTATATCTCTGTCGTTATATATAGAATCAAATTGAATTAGTTGCAAACTTTATAAACATAATATAATAACTGTAGAAGAAATAAATAGAAAATTCGGGAAGGATGAAATGAGTTGCTTATGACAAATAATAACAAATCTTTGCGACGACAAGATCTAGTTTGTGACTGGATGTGAATTACGCTTGACATTGTTTCTCGTCAGTGCAATTAGATCACCTGCAATTGCGTGTAAATTAAGTAATTTCCATCGAATAAAGATAATGTTTCATTTTATTTCACATCCTCTTTCATTACCATAGAAATAGAATGAAAATGAGAAGAATGACAAGGAAATTATTAGAAGAGAGAATTTTGTCATTTTCTTATAATCTGGCCTTTCCAATGTCACGGCGCTCAGAAATCTCCAACAACGAATGGGTAATTCATATTTAATTAATCATAGTTTCAAAGCTCATACACGTGCACAATGTACATCGATGTATCCTTGTAAATTTTATCGTAATTGAAATATAGTTTTCAAACATGTATGGAAGAGCAATTTTCCTTCTTCATTTGAATGTTAATTTAAAAAAAACGAAAGTAATATTTACAATATACGTAATAAATCACGTATATTCAGTAAAATAAAAAAAATGTAAATTTGCCAATTTAATATTTTATTTTATAGAAAGTAATTGAAAAAGGTATCCGAGAAGAAAATATATCTGTTATCGGCAATGCGAAGTCGAATAGACATATACACTTACATAAAAAAACACATTCAGATAACCACGTGCATAAAGGTAATAAATACTATAAGATTTTTTTCTTAATTTAATTACTCTTTAATTTTACAATTTTAGTAAAAGGGGCATACGAATATTACAATACTTAATTTTTATAATTCAATAATTTTGAGATTTGTAGATTCAAAATTTATAAATTTAATTAAGTAAGTGCACGAAAGAAATGGACAAAAATAAGAAATATAAAAGTGCATCTTTCAATTAACATTTACATATTACATTTACATATTAACAAGTGAATAAAAAGAAATTTAATAAATTTATGTAAATCGAAATAAATTATATTTATTAAATCAATTCAAATTGCGGAATTATTTTGCAGAAGTAATACTAAAATGTGGAGTAATTTTGCAGGTCTTCTATGGGGACTTCCTGAATCTTTTTTAATGTCATCCAAATCTCTTTTATGATATTCCAATTTATTTAAAGTAATATTCGATACTTCTGGCAACAATTCTAGCTTATTGTGTAGCTTGTGCTGATCAATTTCTACGCGAGTTAATCATTTTCAAAAGTTGTTCCGCCTTATAAACATTTTTAAAGTAATTTTTACTTTTATCATCAGCACGAATAAATCATTTTCAAAAATTGCTCCGTTATTTGCACAGAATAGTTCGTATTCTATGCAAATTATTTATGGGACAATAATCTATGCACTGTAATGCAAAATATTCATAAAGAATCACTTAATAATCTTTAATCAATTTTCTACCTGAAGAGAGAGTTTGAACAAATCACGAACAGCGTCAAAGATCGCGGTGTGGTTTACACTTTGCTGCAGTTACCGGACGAGCAAAAACATAGAGGTGTGACAGCAATTTTAACAGGCAGCTTCGCTTATTCTCTTTGCTATTTTGGAAAGAAAGTTGGAGTGCGGGTGACAGTGGTGACGCCAAAGACAGTTCCAAAAGAAATATTCTTCAAGTGTCAAGGTCTTTCGGGCAAGAGTGATTGTCTGAGCCCTAGATATGATGGACGCACATTATATTGCTTTGCATCACGCCAAAATCGAAGGGATTATTTTATATTGATGGGTATTCTTTTTTTAGCAAAATTTAAATTAAATAAAATTAGGATTGGAGAAGTCATTTTATAAATATTTCTTAAAAAATATCATACACATTAATTATCTTTTTTAAACTAAAAATATTATTTTAACAAATAAAAGTTATCTAAAAACAAATATGAGATCATACAAGTTTCCAAGTATTTGATTAGACATAAAAACAAAAATATTGTTTTAATAAATCGTTTAAACCATTCCAAAAGTATATGCAGCAAAAGTTTAATGCCATTGTCTTTCCAAATAATTTTAAATTTCATCAAACAGACTTAAAGTAACTAAAATGATTTAAGAAAGATGTAATGTAAATACAATTATACTTCTTTATATGCATGACGTAAATTTTTTGAAAAAATGATTAGTATCTCAATATTGAGGAGGTTGTAAAATGGTAGAGGAATTTTCGATTCAATTTAGCCCACTCTACCTACCCACGAGCGTTTTATCGTTGAGTACCGGACACCCTGACCCCTATATATGAATTAAAAATAAAGTACATAAAAATTTAACAACTGTAAGTTTCCTGAATAAAAATAAGATTAATAATTATATGAAAAAAGAATTGTAATAATCAAAGTCATATTTATCTTGTAAAGATAAAGAAAAATACGTCAGAGTATTACATAATTCACATAAGAGTCACATAATTAAAATATAGAAATTTCATGATATAAAAATTTAACGCAGTCATACAAAAGCGTATAAAATAAACGTGTAAATCCAATGTCATATACTTGTCTGAAATTATGAGTTAATTTTAACAAATATATCAAAATAGAAAATAAAAGCAGACTTAAATGATTAATTAACAATAGTGAAATAACGCCAATGCGAGTCAACACGGATGTAATTGTTGTAATAATTATAATATCCAGCCACACGTAAACTGCACGTCATATTTTTGTCGGACTTGAAACAGTTCTTTACAAGAGGCCAGAATCCACTTGTACGAATTAAATTGCAAATTAATTTCTTTGATGCTAATGTACATCTATAAGAATCCCCAAATCTATAAAGAAATTTATTGCAAAATACATATATACTATTTATATATATTAGTTAATTGCGAAGAATATCATCACACATAACTCTGTAGGGGAATGGTAGGACGCCCTTAAAAGGTACTCGCGAATTGAAAACAGTCACAATTTCTTGAAATTGAAACTATACGTTGTAATAGAAGTCGTGGACATGCTTGTGCAATTAGAATGAGATTGACCGTTTCAATACTGAGATATAAGCGATTAAAAATTGCATTTTTTATACATGTTACCTATACAAAGTTCACAAAAGTGTTGCGTTTATTTTTGTAGAACCTAAACTAGCAGTAAGATTGTTGATGTTAATAAAAATGAGCATGCGATAAAAGGACATGAAACGGATATTGTGAAAATATTCACAATTTTTTACGTTTAGTTTGGAAAATAGAGCTTGAAAAAAATGTAATTTTCGATTTTAATTGACATATAGAGACGAGTGAAGGAGGCGGCCAGTTGAGTTGCGTTAGTCTGCGTCTATCTGAATTAATTTTTTTCCGCGGTGCGTGCGGCCTATGGACAGGC